CCGGGACCCCGAGGATGCCGGTGGGGCACAGGCGGGGAAGAGACGCCGGGGGGGCGGCGCGGCCAGCGCGGCCGTCGCGAGGGTCGCGGGGACCTGGCTCTTCCCTCAGCAACAAGACATTGCCGCCGCCGCCATTTTGCCCTTCCACTCCGGTGTCGCCGCCGCCGTATTCCGCCGCAGGTTTCCCGGATGTGGGCATTTCCCGGCGTCGCTTGCGCGGGGGCCGAGGACTGGGGGCTTCTGCCCGCCCGGCCGCCGGCAGGGAGCGCAGCCTGCGGCCTCCCGCCCTCCGCCCTCTGCCCTGCGCCCGCCGCCCGCTCCCCTGTGTGGGGCCAGCAGAGCCCCGCGCCGCCCCCGCCCGCGCTGCCCAGGTGACTCGCCCCGGCGCGGCTCGTGGACCGCGCTCTCGCTCGCCGAAGCCCACGCACGGACCTCACTGTTGTTATTTGTCAGTCGAGCTCTATGGCGAGTATAGAATAAAGATGCGCATCTCAAGGAGCTTAATTCGCAGAAGGAAACAGCAGTGAGTTGCTCTCTGAAACCTCGCTGTGTTCATCAGGATTCGGGATTTTTAGAGGCTTTGAAATAAAATGATTTTTGAAATAAAATGAAAGGTCTCGTTTCCCCAGTAAATCCTTGAATTTAAGTATTTTCCAAAATATATTCTTGAGCCAAGAAAAATTAACCGAGTTTCGAGATTTTTATGTCAACCAAAGCAGCAGAAAAGTCTTTATTGCCATAATTGGAATAACAGTGACGGTGAGGTTTTATTTTCGGTTAAATTAGGAATTTGATGCTGTAACCGGTTTGGCTCAGTGGATAGAGCATCAGCCTGCGGACTGAAAGGTCCCAGGTTCGATTCCGGTCAAGGGCATGTACCTTGGTTGCGGGCATATCCCCGGTGGGGTGTGCGGGAGGCAGCTGATTGATGTTTCTCATTGATGTTTCTGGCTCTCTAGCCCTCTCCCTTCCTCTCTGTAAGAAATCAATAAAAAATATATTTTAAAAAATTGGGAATTTGGGATGGAATCATTGGGCACATGATGTTTGAAAGCACCGTTTGTAGACCGCCTTTGCCAGTTCTGCCTCTTGAAAATGTAGGCAAGTTGGTGTTTTGAAATCCCCTTTCATCATTTTTCCAATAGAATTTACCAAATTTTTTTAAATTAAGACTTTTTTTTCTGATGTTAGTTACTGGCTACTGTATCCAAAAAAAATTCAAATGTGAAAAGAAGAGACTAAAAGATTACATTCTAAGAGCACTTGGTTGAAAATCAACGTTCCAGCCAAAGCCAGTTTGGATTCCAGTCAAGGACACATGCCCGGGTTGCAGGCTGATCCCCAGTAGGGGGCGTGCAGGAGACAGCATCATTGATGTTTCTCCCTTCCTCGCTGAATTAAATGAAAATACATTTTTTAAAAAGAAAGAAAATCAATGTTTCACAACACAGAGTTTGTGCAAGGTAGAGGATTTGACCCAAGGTGGTCACTCAATAATTCTTCCACTGGGGACTAAATAATCTCTAGGTCCCGTTCAGCCTCCACATTATATGAATCTGTGTTCACAGGCTTGCCTGCGTTTGGAAGCGTGTACTACCCAGTTTTGTCACCTCTGTCATCAACCCATGGAACTTCTTAAGTTTCTCAATTCTCTCTGAGCATAAAGACAAGTATCTCCATAGACTACTGTCTTTGGGGAAATTCCTCGATAATTCACGGAGCGGGGTGAATTGCTCTAAGACTAGGAGAGTGACTGCTATGAAGTAGGGGGACAGAAGAGGAGAGGAGAGGAGAGATCCAGAGAGAACCTGTAAGATTAAAAGTGGCTGAGACTGCAGGTGGGAGTGGGGGTGAAGGTGAAAGACCAGGAAGATGCTTACGAGGGGCGCTGGATGTCTGGGAATGGCAATATCGGCCTTCATTTGAAGGTCTTTGCACTGCTGTGATGGAAAACCCTTGGTCCAGCCAGTTTACTCACCTCTTCAACGCTTCATGGAAGTGGCAATTTTTTTTTCGTTTTTTAATAGGGGCCAAATTTCATATTTGGGTGATCGTAGGAACTGGGCATGGAAGTAGTCTGGAGACTAAGTTGTGGTCCTGAGAGCATCAGTTCTAGAAATTCAGTCTTAGGGGAAGGCTCTAGATTATGAGCAGCCTCCTTGAGGGCGGAGAACCTGTGTAAATTATTTGGAATTCTGATCAGATTGGTCTCTTCTCCCCCATTTGTTTATTCAAGCATTTACTTATAGAATTGTGGACTCGTGGATATTTTATATTTTGGGTATTTTATTTTGTTGAGCAATTGTTTCAACTTTGACTATTGGGAACTTTTCCAGTTGGTTTTTGTGTCCCTTTGACCTACTCCCATTATTTTTTGTTGTTATTTTAGAATTTCCTTACTTTCTGGCACTACAAGATGCTGCAAACTATCTTGTATTATTTCCAAACCCTCCAAGTAGTCCTAGTTCCTTTTATTGGAAAATGGTATTAAAAACCAAATCTGGTGCCTGAGTGTGCTTATTGCTACTAGGGTATCATTGCTTGTATGACCTCTCCGGCAAGAGATTTTTAAATTTAAGTTCATTCCATACTATGTGCAGGGGTAAAAACTGTTTGGATTTGTTATGGCTATTATTTTAGAGTCTAGTATTAATTACAGTTTACCTTCATACATCCATGGCCTGCACAAAAATTGTTTTGACAGTGAATTCATTTCTGGTGACTTTGTTAGGCTAGTCAGCTACTGTCCCCCAAAGTTGTCATGACACTTTGGCATTGAACATGTTTACTTTTAATTAATTAAAAAAAATTATGTGATCAATTATAGTCTTTCTCCTTTTTCATCATGCCCATCCCTCCATGGCTTCTTCCCTCTATGTACACCTCTATTTTAGTGAAATGTTGGAAATTATTTTGATGCTAAGATGACTGCAGTCCAGGATGTTGCTGTTAGTTGTTCTACATTGCCACCAAACATTAGTCATGGTTCAGAATGAGGCCAATGAAATAGTCTAAACAGTTGCATGTCATAGTTTGGGAGCTCCCTAGGTTTCAGATCTATAAAATAAGAGCACTGCTTCAGACCATCTAATTCATTGAGCGAGATAACACACTGAAACCATAAGCTTAAATGATACAAACTATATAATAGTGAACTTATACACTTCTTGGACAAGATTCTAGAATGGATAATTGTTTTTGAATTTTTTCATTGATTTCAGAGAGGAAGGGAGAGGGAGAGAAACATCCATGATGAGAGAGAATCATGGATCGGCTGCCTCCTGCACGCCCCCTCGGGATCAAGCCCGCAACCCAGGCATGTGCCCTGACCAGGAATCGAACCCGGAACCCTTCAGTCCACAGGCCGACGCTCTATCCATTGAACCACACCGGCTGGGCAGAATGGATTATTGAAAGGATATTTCCACAGTACTATGAAACAGAAGTATAACTCACAAAGGACAAGGAATGTTTCAATTATGCCAACTTTTTGGTAGAATAGCTATAGCACAGATGTTTTCTCAAAATACTAGTAGTCTTGTGAACAAGAGAAATGGGTCAGAATATCAACAAATTAGGTTGGTTTATAAATATTTCAGTGACTGTAGCCAAATACCAGTGATTCGTGTGTCACTGATGATTGAGACGACTCTAGGAGTGGGCCCAAGCACCTCGGTCCATTTAACCTATTTCCTAACTAATGGGATGAGAGTACAGAAAACATGCTGGACAATTCTGAAAATACTTTGTTTCTCAAGAAAAGATTCCGAGGGGATTGTTAATTCTTTCCTATATTGAAATAAAATGTGTCTTCTTAGAACACGAAGGATGGACCTTTAGTAAGGACCAAACCCACCTGCATTAACTCAATATGGGAAGAATGGCTTAAGCATATCCTGTGTGAAAACTTAAGGGTTAAGTTCAATAGTCAGCAGTCTAATTGAACAAATGTCAGAATTACTCAAATAAACTCAACACAGCATTACAAAAGAGTACTGTGCCCAAATCAGGATAAGATTTCTATCATATTCACAAGTGAGGCAGACACTCCCTGGAAAAGTATTCATTTTAGAAGTCTCACTTTAAAGTTGGCCTTTGGAAAACGGGAGTATTTTTGTAAAAAGGAAATAAGATTAGGATTTAGTTCAGTTTGCACTGAGGCAGTGCTTACTATGGACCAGATATTGTATTAAATATTGTCAGTGTAACACCCACACATGGGCTCTGCTTGTAAGCTTGTGATTCAGTAGAGGGAGAAAGGCTACTTAACACACTGCTCTAAGCACAATGTAAGCTCTGCACAATGGGCTTTAGAAACAGTACAATTTAGCCCACATTGTCAGAGGTCAGGGAAGGCTTTCTTGAGTAAATGACACCTAAAAGGAGTCCAGAAGAGTAAGCAGGATCTAGCCAACTAGGGCAAGAAAAGCTGGGACGGGAACCTTGCCCTCAAGAAACCAATGAAGGGATAGACTAAGTTTCACTCTAAAGTAGCTATAATATGTAGCTACTTGAATATGAAAGGAATTAAAATTTTTGTGGCTCCTGAGGATAGAAGACAAATGGAAGCCTATTTCAATTCAGTATATGAAAAACTCATTTATTTAGTGAAACCTTATGGTTAAGTACCCCAACATAATGCAAATTCAATAAATGAATTGGTGGCGGGCTTTGTCTCATAGCAGGTTCACATGATCATTTTATTAACCCACAATAACATTATTCTACCTTTTCTTTACAGGACCGTTTTGAGTCCCACTCACATACTAAAACCCTGCCATCATGGCTGGATCAAAAAAAGCTGTCCAAATGGTGAGAGGCTGCACGGAGTATTTTCAAATATATGGGTGAGAATTTGTTGGGAATGCTGTGGGAGGGACGATCAGATGTAGGCTGGAGATGCCTTAAAGTCCTCCCACCTCTGAGATCCTGCAGCCCTCAAAAAAACCATTTCATAGTTTCATGAAAGGCAGTAAGTGACAAAGAGCAAATTCATATATGTGTTTAATTTATACTACATAAAACTTGTTTCTTATTAAATGTATCGAATGTAACACTATTCAAATGTACTTTCTTTTACATATGGTTAAAAATACCCTTAAATCAAAGCAAAGCTTAAAACTTAAAAATCACCAACGGGTTCCTGTCCTTGTTATCCTGTCCTTTGTTTCCAGTCCAAGCAAAGCAAAGCTTGAAATTTAAAACTGTTTCCAGTCCCAGCTAATATTTTAAGCCTAGACGTCTGGCTCCTTCCCTTTACCATCATTCACTATAATGACCCAGGGAAATTGTATACATTGCTGCTGGAAACTGACAAGAGTGCTAACATGTATGAAACCTTCAATCTTTACAGCAACAGATAATACAGGTAAGAGCAGAGGCACAACAAGCATACCATTTACTGTACATGGAAAATGTGCCACCGAAGAGCTGGCTAAGGTCTTCGACCCAGAGCAAGGTTAGCCTGCTGCCCTAGCTGGTTTGGCTCAGTGGATAGAGCGTCGGCCTGCGGACTGAAGGATCCCTGGTTCAATTCTGGTCTAGGGCTCATCCCCAGGTTGTATGCTTGATCTCCAGTAGGGGGCGTGCAGGATGCAGCCGATCGATGGATCTCTTATCATTGATGTTTCTACCTTTCTCTCCCTCTCCCTTCCTCTCTGAAATCAATAAAAATATATTTCCTTTTAAAAAGGAAGTTAACCTGCTAACTGTAATGGGAGGGTGCTTGTACTGGGTGAAAAGGGACACTGTAGCTTAGGCTGCAGCATGACATTCATACAAATGAAAACATAAAGTCAAAGGAAAATTCATAGCTATGTTTATATGATTGAACCCATGTGTTTACTGGTAGGTAATGTGCATCTACAAATATATATTTCATTTTCACAAAACAAATTATATACACTGATGAATAAAAGAAATATAAAAGACTATTAGTTGAGGCTATAAGTAGTTAAGATTTGTTTTTCTGTAATGAATTACTTTTGTAATAACAGAAATTTTAAAAAATTGATCCCAGCAATAACATTATAAACAGGTTAAAAATTCCTATCAGCAACATTTTCTTTCCTTCTAATTATGTGGAATTCAGTTACTTATTATCTTTAATGAAACATTTTTGAGCCAAATATAAAAAAGCAGATTCATATACATATTCCATTTTTAAATACTGACAAAGAAACAAAAACAAAAAACCCTGAGATAAGGTGGCATAAAATTTTTTGAAAATATTAAGGGAGAAGAACAAAACTTTACCATAATTACTATTATTGGAATTATAAAGCACATGAACACACTTCAATAATGCATTTAATCTAACACATTATGGAAAGACAATGTCATACTACTGTCTCAAAACACTATGGAAGGTCATCATTAACATTTCCAATAAGGATAAAGACAGCAAAATTCTTTACTCTTACCACACTATCACACTAATCTCATACATGTTACCTATCAAATGTTAGTTTCAAAATCGGCTCACTTATCAATGTCAAATTCTATTTTAATGCATAATGTCCAGTTTGGCAATTTTCGACTACACTATAAAACTAAACAAAGGCAAAAATCCTTAAGAAAAATTGCATTTTCTTTTTTCTTTTCAAGAAAAATAAAGTTGGGTATAAGCAGTTGATAAAGTTCTGTTCAAACATAGTCTATTAAAGGAACCTGTCAAAACATTTTCCCCTTTAAAAAAATTTGTCAGTTTTTTGTTCTACTCAATTATTTCTGGAAAAGTTTATTAAAATTATTAAAGAAATAAAATGTGAAAGGATTGAAGAAAACATTTGCAATAAAAAGAATAAAAGCTAACACTGGTTAATGCCACATACTGTTGATAACAAGGACAGGAACCCGTTGGTGATTTGACAGCTCACATCAGAAATGAAGAGCAGCTTCCACGAGCTATCCAGGAGGGTGTCTGAAGGCAGTGTATTCATCAACACGAGGATCCCTCTGACATTCTTCCACAAGTTCCCGTTCCTGTGCCATCAGTCACCTAACAGATTCTGCAACTGTTAGAAGACTATCCAGCTAACAAAATCCAAACCTGGGCATTGCCATTAATGAGTTTACTACAAACGTCACATTTTTCATTAATAAAAGTTTGCAGAGAAGTTGGAATTTGAAAGGCTATCTGTATGTTTTTACCTGATATCTTATAATTATAGTATTTTCATGAAAAAAGTTGTCTAGTAACATAAATTGCTTCTGAATCGGTTCCACAAACAAGACAAGGACCTAAAACATCCAAACTGTTCACAGACAAAGTCCTGTTGGGAAGCAAGCTTGTGATCTCAATCCGGTCTCTCGCAGGATCAGTGCTGAGCCAGGAGCTTATAAGAGACTGGTGAACATTAGCCTGGTTACTAATGCTATGAGACAAAAATGTACTATTTCTTCCTCCTGGGAGAAAAAAAAAGGAGGGAAATATTTCAAGACTAATTTTACATCAGTGAACATCCAAAATTCTATTGATATTTTTTAAAGGCAATGACTTAAACTTGTTTAACTCTCAGAATAACAGCTTGATTATTCATGATTACACATCACCGTTTCTTACCAAAGGCCTATTCCGTGACATTAAAACTCAAATTTCCATGGGATAATATGGACATCAAACTACAGGCAAAGCAGATTTATGCTGACCCTGTCTTTCTGTTCATTCTTTAATGGAAAGTGTCAGAAATGTAGCAAAATGGTCAGAAGAAATGTAGAATAAATAAAGAAAAAAATAAAATATAGTCAACTTGCTTTAGCTTTCTTTTACCCTTTATTTTAGGTAATTTATCTTAAAAGCAGAATGTTAGAACACTACCAGATTATAAACTTTTATCTCTAACAGTGCTCTGTATTGAATATAGAAGTGAAGCAGTATATTTCAGTTTAAGCCATTATTTGAAATTTTCTTTCCTTTCAACTTTTTGCCAAATCAAATAAAGACAGATTTCATTTATTCAAATGTGGCCGAGTAACTGTGTGCCAGGCTCTGTGCTTAATGTGGGGGATACAAGGCGAAGTCCCTGATGTCTTCAAGCTTAATGACTAGTAAAATGTTTTAAAATTATTTTTAAAATATATTCTTATTGATTTCAGAGAGGATGGGAGAGGGAGAGAGGGATAGAAACATCAATGGTAAGAGAGAATCATTGATCGGCTGCCTCCTGTACAGCCCACACTGGGGATCAAGCCTGCAACGTGGGCATGTGTCCTGACCAGGAATCAAACCCTGGTTCATAGGTCGACACTCAACCACTGAACCACCGGCCAGCATAATCTTGCTCATTCTTGAAAGCCCAGTCAACTTCCTTCTCTAAGCTTTTGAAAGCAACACTAGTTCATGCTTCTCTCTTCCTTCCAGGGACCCTCAGCACTGTATGTACACCACCAATTTACTAGTTATAATATTTATAATTTAACGTTCCATGCTCCTTTATAAGTATTTTTTAATAGTTTGCACAGATTATATTTGTTTTACCCTTTCACTGTGTCTAATACTGTGCCCAGCAATACTAGACACCGAATATAGTAAATTATTTTATTTCTAGCCTAACAAAGGTTCTTCAAACAGTGAAATCTCAAATGTTAGATAATGGGGGCAGAGGAAGAAGTAAAAACCAAGTGCTTAGTTAATCCTTAAAGTTATTTTTCTCCATAAATAAAGTCAGCACAAACATGCTACATGTTGGGAGGAGGGTGGAAGGGGTTGATGGGGGCGGGGGGGGGCGGGGCAGGCAATCTGTTATACTTTTTTAAAAATATATGTTTTATTGATTTTTTACAGAGAGGAAGGGAAAGGGATAGAGAGTTAGAAACATCAATGAGAGAGAAACTTCGATCAGCTGCCTCTTGCACACCCCCTACTGGGGATGTGCCCGCAACCAAGGTACATGCCCTTGACCGGAATCGAACCTGGGACCCTTCAGTCTGCAGCCCAACGCTCTATCCACTGAGCCAAACTGGCTAGGGCTGTAATACTTTTAATAATAAAGATAAATTTAAAACAAACAAACAAAAAACCAACACTACATGATTTACACAATCCATACTTCTCCACATTGTTTTCTGGAGAAGTTTTAGATTTCCCCTTGGTTTTTCGTCTTTTACTGCTCCTATATTTTACATCACACTTGAATACTGTGAAATTAACATTATTAGAATCACTGTGATAAATCTCCTACCTGGTCTCCCTGCCTCTACTTTTACCATCCCTCTCCTCATAGTCCATTTTCCATACAATAGCCACAGTGACCCTGGCTGGTGTGGCTCAATAGGTTGGAGCGTCTTCCCATACACCGAGAGGTCACAGGTTCCATCCCAGGACTAGGTGGAGGGAACCAATCCATGTTTCTTTTTCACATCAGTGTTTCTTTCTCTCCCCCACCCCCCCTCTCTCTTTCTCCTTCCCTCCCTCTCTCTCTAAAACCAATAAAACCTGCCCTGGCTGGTGTTACTCATTGGTTAGAGCATCGCGCCCCCCCCCCCCACCCCCACTTCCCATTCCTGGGCAAGGGCATGTACCTGGGTTTCAGGGTTGGATCTCTGGTCCCAGTCGGGGCAAGTGTGGGAGGCAACCAATCAATGTGTCTCTTTCACAGTGATGATTCTCTCCCCTCCCCTCCGCCCCCTACTTCCACTCTCTCTAAAAATCAATGGGAAAAAATATCCTTGAGTGAGAATAAACAAACAAACAAACAAAAAAAACACAAAACTTTTTACCCTGGTGAAAGAGTGATGATTTTTCAGGCACATCTGTGGAGGCATCCCAATGCCACAGGGATCCATCTTCAGAACAGGTAAATAGATGATCTGGGTTGGATGGGTGAAAGTGAACTTCCCACACTATAAGATAAGAACCAAGAAGCTTATGCTGTGCAGATTAAACAAACATTAAAGCCCTATCTGTAGGCATCATCTTCCATTAACCTCCACCACACACCTTCGAACCCCAAGTCTGAAAAAAATCAAAGGCTTCAGAATTAAGCCATACTATAACTCTTCATACTACAGCTAGGATAAAGAAGCCAAGTAAATCTACATGTGTATCGGGCCAGCAAAAGAATGAAAATAAATGCTAATCATTTGACCTATTACATTTTTTTAAATGTAAAAGTATGGCAATGGAATACTTCTGAAAATTTTTTTCTAAAAATTAGTTTAGGTTCTCTTATTTTCAGTTCCTGTGTCATTAACATATGCAGGTTATATTACTAGAAAGACTGAGAGAGAAGACCATAAAAGTAATATACAAATGAAATTCAAAGAGGCAGAGTCCAATTTGGCACATGCCAGGACTGAACACTTTTCTTCTGTATCACAGAAATAGCTACTAGCTCCCAGCAAACCAAAACCTGGAAATGCTCTAAGAATCTGGGGTCCAGTTTCAGATGGAAGGCTTTTAAGAAGCCAAGTTGGGATTGAGGGCTCCTCAAGCTCTAAACTTTATGAGAACATTGTGTGCCCACAGACATCTGGGAGCCAATGTCTGGCCAGGGTGCCTTATGAAGTTCTCTGCAGCGTGCAGATAAAACAGGTAGTCTGTGGACAAGGGTTTTGTGATTCTGGGTCAGGTGACCCTAAAAAGGCAGCATATATACAAAATTTAAAAAAGAAAAAGAAAAAAAAGGCAGCATAGAAAGTGCCTGAGGTGTAACATAAAAAGTGCAAGGCACGTGTTTGCAAGCTGGTAATTTTCATTCTGACATTTACCACAATTAAACATCATGTCACAAACCATAAAAAGGTCACCTTCCTTAGCAGGAAAGGAATGTGTTCTGGGTGAGTCCCTGTATAAAGTGCATTAATACTGCTTCATTAAAACAAAGTGAAACAAAACAACCCATAGAGCCACAAACAAATGCCCAAATAAAGATTCTTTTTCTTTTGTTAAAAAAAAAGGAACGCTTCACGAATTTGCATGTCATCCTTGTGCAGGGGCCATGCTAATCTTCTCTGTATCGTTCCAATTTTAGTGTATGTGCTGCCAAAGCGAGCACCAAATATAGATTCTTAAGTATTTATTTATTTTCAAATTAGAAAACAAAGCTCCATAAAACATCTCTTTCTAGCAAAGAGTCAGGATGAATTCGAGGTAATACAATACATTACATTTGTATGTTTACTGCCTAACAATATAGTTTAAAAGGGGCTAAGTTAAAAGGGCCTGGTAAGTTAAACAGCAGTTAAAAAGGGACTGATAAGAAAAGATCTGAAAATTTGTAATTCTACTACCACTGTGTTAGCCAACATCAGACTCTATGAGAGCATACCTTTATTCCTTTTTATTCATTTATTTTCTTGGGCACAACTATAAATGGAAGAGGCAAAAACTTTTCTATCCTTTTATCTGCTTTATCTTAAATATAATCTCAAAAGTCATTTATCTTTCCAAGGTAATAAGGTGAAACTTATTAAACAGAAGTTGCAGTACTAGTATAACATGTCCTTTCGTACTTTTATTCAAGCATTAATACAGATGACTAGAGCATAGTCCCATACACCAAAAAGGTTGCAGGTTCGATTCCCAGTCAGGGTGCGTAAGGGAGGCAACTGATCAATGTTTCCCTCTCATATTGAGGTTTCTCTCTCTCTCCCCCTCCCTTTCTCTCTGTAAAATCAATAAAACATATCCTTGGGTAAGGATTAAAAACATTTCTATTCAGCCTAAAAAACCCCCATCAATTTTCATTCTGACAGTTACCACAATTAAACATTATGTCCCTGCCCCTCCCTTCCACTCTGTCTAAAAAATCAATGGGAAAAATATCCTTGCATGAGGATTAACAAAAAATTAAAATAAAATCAATAAAAACATACTTTAGCCGAAACCGGTTTGGCTCAGTGGATAGAGCGTCGGCCTGCGGACTGAAAGGTCCCAGGTTCGATTCCGGTCAAGGGCATGTACCTTGGGTTGCGGGCACATCCCCGGTAGGAGATGTGCAGGAGGCAGCTGATCGATGGTTCTCTCTCATCGATGTTTCTAACTCTCTATCTCTCTCCCTTCCTCTCTGTAAAAAATCAATAAAATATATTAAATAAAAAAATAAAAAAATAAAAACATACTTTAAAAAAATTATCAAAAGAAAATAAGTACATAAGGGTGAACAAAAGCAGGTGAATCACTGGGGTTTGGTTATAATAATGAAACATATAAAGAACTTAAATGTCAAATAAAAAGATAAGTTAATTATTACATATTTATACAATTGAGCCAAAAGCTATGATGCAAGACAATCCATGTGTACCATTACAGTGTATCATGTAACTCACCCAACAAAAACTACGTATCTCCATAACACTTACTTTCAGCTTCATGAGCCTTCAGCAGAGACACAAGCATAGTACTGTCTAACATCCCAAATACTCAACATTCCATCCTGGCCCCCAGTAGCTACAACATGCTGCTGGTTGGGATGTCTATCAACACAGTGGAGTGGCACTCGGTCACCAGTCCTTTTATGGGAGATACAATAAAATCAAATGTTGTAAAGGATACTTACTTTGTATAACCCATGAAACATGTTTCATTCTAGTAACTAAATGATAATTTTGTGGCTACATTTGCTGGCTGAATTTAAATCATGTCCCAAAACTGACTACATTAAATATACTTCTGCCCTAGCCTGTTTGGCTCAGTGGATAAAGGGTCAGCCTGCCAACCAAAGAGTCCCGGGTTCGATTCCAGTCAAGGGCACGGACCTTGGTTGCAGACTTCTTCCTGGCCCATGCCCTGGTGGAGACATGTGCAAGAGGCAACCAATTAATGTTTCTCTCTGTCTTTCCCTCTCTCTAAAAAATCAATGGAAAAATATCCTCGGGTGAGGATTAACCAAATAAATAAATAAGTATTTTTTTAAATATTAGAAATTGGGGGAGGGGATGTTTAAGGCCAAAGTTATTCATTCTCTCTTCAATTTGGGAGGCATAGGGAGCAAGATAATCTGATGGCATGATGTGCAAAACACATTTCCATTTCTTGGCTTTTAAAAAACATTAGAGCATAGGCCTGTGTGGTACAGTTGGTTGAAGTTCTCCTGTACACCAAACAGTCTCGGGTTCGATTCCCAGTCAGGGCACATACCCAGGTTTGGGGCTCAATCCCTGGGTCAGGATGAGTACGGGAGGCAACTAATCAATGTTTTTCTCTCACACTGATGTTCATTTCTCTCTCTCTCTCTCTCTCCCTCCCCCTCTCTCTAAAATCAATAAAATACATATCCTCAGGTGAAGATTAAAAGAAAACAAAAACCTGGGATTTTATTTTTCTCCCAGTCATACCTAGAATATTATACTCACTGTTAATAGAATCATTTGATGAGCAAAAATAAATTCCCCATTAAATAATATAAACTTCAAGGAGATAAAGACTCTGAATCAAGATAGCAAATACCTACTAAATGCAGCATGGCAGTATCAAACCCATCAAATTATACTTTTTTTAATCAAATTTAAATAGGGATTATTCTCTTAAAATGCAATATGGTTTAAAGTCAATTGCTATAAATGACTGAACAAATTAATTTTGCATTACACTACTGAAATTACAAATTAAAACTTACAGTGATAATATTTGAGAGGGCTCATTTCCTTGTTGTCTGAAATCCCATATTTTTAATTGTCCAATTGAATTTACTGTAAGAATCTCAGGAGTTCGAAGGAAGGTTACAGCATGCAGTGTACTGCTATCTGCATTGTCTACAAATTAAGAAAACAGCAGTGTGTGTTAATGGGTCCCCTGTGCCATGAAAATCTTAAATCATGTTCTTTTTAAAAAATTATTATTTTTCTAATTTTTAAATAGCATTCTTTTTATGGAACTATTACATAGGTCAAGTGAAATTTTAAATAGGTCACAGTTTAATTTCTATAAAAAATGTACAGTCTTATTCTGCTGACTCAATTTCATCTTTCCTTATCAACTAATTCTCATCTCTGTGAAGTCCTTCTTCTTTGTTAGATGGTCCTTTCCTTCTTCCTACAGTATTTAAGCTCAAACCATAAAACATAGTATATACTTATAAACTTTGTCACACTCCTCCCAACTGCCACCAGGCAATGGTCCTTAAACAAGTGGTGCTTCTCAGAACTAAAATTGATCATGAACTACATAAAACATTGATTCATGAGCACAATCCATAGAAGTTCTGATTTAGGTCTAGGTTGGTGGGCTATTAAAAATCTCCTTAGGCAAGTCTTTGTGAAACATAGAGAACTACTACACTAGAATAACCCTTCTAAAGCACAACAGGGAGTATATCACCAGCTTACTCAAACATTTCCACCAGCTCCTTACTGTCCATCCAGCAAAATGTAACCTCAATGGCTATGCATTAGACTCTTCACAACCTGGTCACACTTTACCTTCCTTGCTTTCTCTCTCACCTCTCCTATATAAACATGTAAGGTCAAAACACTCTGTCATTCTCTAAATGGCCCTATCCTGCCTCCTCACTATTCCCTTTGTCTGGTGTGCCATCTTTTAGTTATTTATGGTCTAGAACAGCCGTGGGCAAACTACGGCCCGTTTGAAATGAATAAAACTAAAAAAACTAAAAAAAAAAAAGACCGTACCCTTTTATGTAATGATGTTTACTTTGAATTTATATTAGTTCACACAAACACTCCATCCATGCTTTTGTTCCGGCCCTCCGGTCCAGTTTAAGAACCCATTGTGGCCCTCGGGTCAAAAAGTTTGCCCACCCCTGGTCTAGAACCTTGATTAAATTAACTGCCACCTGCCCCTCAATTCTTTATCCAATAACCCACTCCAGCCAAATATCCTGATAAAGGGATTCTGCTTTGTGCATTTCTATATCCCTGAAACACCTAGCACTGTACCTACTTAGCACAAGATGGGTGCTCAATTTTTCTTACCTATAGTTCTCACAGCTTCCTTGTGATCAACTCTGAAGAGATTTATTCGACCATCTTCTCCAACTGTGACAATCTCTGGGCTATTGCACACAACACCTGTGCATGGTGCACTGCTACAGGAAGGACTGCCTGGACCCGTGTGGTAGTGAGCTGTTGTCCACTGCTGGCTGACTGACAGAGTCTAGGAGTCAGAAATGAAGATATAATCAACCAAAGTAAAGTTCTAAAAAACTAGCACTTTTCCCCAACTGAGTGTTTTAAAATTTTCTCACACCCTTCTAGGAAATAACTCTCTCCTTTTTCCTTTGTATTTCCAAATACGAAAGTCTAGAACCTACTTCCATCAAAGCTCTGTATACAATGGATTAGATTCTAAAGGAACACTGTCCAAAAATATCCCAATCTTATCTCAAACTAAAGAAATGGTGTTTAGGTATCTGGTAGTAGTGTGTTCAAAAGCAACTTTAAATTTTTTCTTATTTTATTTTTATTGATTTCAGAGAGGAAGTGAGAAATAGAAACATCAATTATGAGAATCACTGATCCGCTGCCTCCTGCATGCCCCCTACTGGGGATCGAGCCCACAACCTGGGTAGGTGGCCTGACCAGGAATGGAATTGTGACCTCCTGGTTCATAAGTCAAAGCTCAACCACTGAGCCACACCTGCTGGGCAAAGAAACTTCAAATTCTTTAGGGCATTAGCCTAAGATAAATCTCTATAGAGCTTTCTTAATGACTCCATTAAGGAAAACAGTAAGGGCTTGGTCTTACACTTACTAGGCATGCTTACAAGGAAGGTGACCTTTATGAATTCCAAAATCTAAATAAGCACTCTCTTCCAGGAACTTAAAACTGTTACTACAAGTGAGGCCATTGTAAAGGACTGCCCTCACCACTATGCAGTGAAGATCAGCACTCTTAGTACACAAGACAGACATCAATAAAATGTCAGTGGTGATGGAAGGAGACTTGGCTTGGGGCGATGAACACACAATACAATGTACAAACGATGTACTGTAGAACTATACCCCTGAAACCCGTACAATTTTATTAACCAATGTCACCCCATCAAATTCTATTTTTAAAAAGGGGAAAAAAGTGTCAAGTCTTCATATAGCATATCCTCTCTTCTAATTAAAACCGAGATTCTAGCCACAGAAGCAAAGTGGCTGTTCTCTTTCATGATACCTGAGCTAGAAAGTTCTCTTTCTTCAAAGTCCAGAATAAGAACTTAAAAGAAAGAATTACAGAAAAATCACTTGCCAGATACTACATTGTTAGAGCCAAACGAACAGAATTTAAGACTATCCAATTTCAATAAAAATTCACACAAACATAGCTCTAGAATTAACCTACTAAAAGATGGGTAATGTAACAATTTTTCTCCTGCATGTTTTGAGATTATAAAATCTTATTATTTGTGTCATTATTAAGTACAGTCTTCTTTAAGCCTTCCTAAAACTAATTAAAAAATACAAATTCAGTTTTCAAACAGCATTTCTTTACCTGGTTGTTGGGATGGTGAAGGAAAACTGTAACACATCCTGTTGACGAAGCAGCTACGATTCTTTCCTGGTCGAAAAACTAAGTAGAAAATTCCTGCTTGTTAATAGATTCAGAAATATCAATAGGGAGGAAGCTCATTTGTTTAACTTAATTAGCAGTGATAACTTTAAAATGCAAAGATCCTGTAAATGCTAAGCAAATAAAATGTGACTTTCTAAATCTGAAAGTCAAAACTCCTATTCAAATAAAAGTATTTTTGTGAAGAAAAAATAAACTATTCCCCTAAACTCATTAATCTATAATTGATTTAATTAATTTTGGACCACTACCATAAAGCTTTAGGCAACCTTCTATAGAAGAAAATGCAGGGACTTAAAGTCAGGCAGACCCAGGATTTGAACACTTAATTCCATCCCACCACTTAATAATTGCCTCGAGACCTTAGCCAAGTTAAACTTTCTGAGCTCAGGTACACCTTTACGAGGGGAGAACTAATCCCTACTTAGGGGGTTGTGAGAATTCAAAGGGCAAAAACAATTAAATTCTCTTTCAGAGCATTTCTCATATAGCATGTGCTCAAAAGATCTTCGTGTCAGTTTTCTCCTTGATAAAACAGATAACAATACTTGACTCACAAGCAAGCAATGAGAATTAACTTACGTGAAATTCCCAAAACAGTGCTTGGCACACAGAAGATAGTCAATTAATTTTTTTTTAAAGCTTAAGATGAAAAACTAAGATTAAATCCACATCCCCTGCCCCCGTCCTGATTCTGTCATCCAGTAGGCTATATGCTCGCGAATCATAACCGATAGAGAATTCAGTTTGCTGTGAACCGGGGTGAGGCGAGACACACTTTAAGGCCCTTTGCATCTCTAAATGAATTCCTCTCCGCTTTTAAACACTTCGCTGACGGATACCACGCAGACTTACTTGTAAATCCATAACGTCACCGTAGTGCCTGCTACCGCACAATACCTGGTGGTCTCCTTCAAACCCTCCATCAGAGTCCAAGTTCCCCAAATCGCCAATAGACCACAATAAGACACGATTTTCCTGCAAAGCAGAAAGTTTTATCTGGAGATGTATACGTTTAGCTCTCGGAAATGTAAACCTGCAATGCCTCCCAGCAATCTTGCTTTAAAAGCAGCTCAGAATAACGAGGGAAGTCTGAGCACACCATCGATGGTTCGGAGCCCGAGACGGGGACTCGGGGGCCGGAGAAAGGCGACGGGGGCCGGGAGGGAGGAGGCGGGGGCTCCCTGGCCCGGGGGGTGCGCTACCTCGTTGTCCCAAGAGCCCGTAGCGAAGGTCTCCGCGGTCTGCAAACTCCCCGAAGGTACCGGTCGCCAGCGGGTTTTGCTGATTTTCTGAGACACGAACTTGGCATAAATTTCCTCCATGCCGAAATCCCCGCAATACAGCCAGCAGCGCAGCGCGCGCCACTCCAGCCCGCCTCTTCCCGCGGAGCCCTGATTGGACGGGCCTGACGGTGGCTGCGGAGGGCCAATTCTCTTCCGCCGCCGGGCGCGCACCGCCCGCCCGCCCTCCAGGGAGAGTTTATGGGCAGGTCCTAGTACGGCACGATCTGCTCCTCATCTGCAAAGTCAGGTAGGAACACTGACTCAATGCATTTGTGCAAAAATTGCGCAATGTAAAACAGATTTAAGAGCAAACACAAAACAAAATCAAGTAAGAGAAACCACCTGGTAGCTACGCCTGAGCATTCAGTTTTACATTTCACGGTGCAGAGAAGAGTCCAAATCCTTAAATTCTCACGAAAGTACATTCCATTAACACACCAACTTCTTATTCTAAACCTCTCCCTCTTTGTTTCCCAAATAAATCCTTTGCTTCAAAGTTGTTAGCGCACACTGTCAATGTCTACAGTTGGAATTCTGAAGACTCCAGTTCTAATTTTGACGACCATTGCCTAGTTGTGTAAGCTTCTTCATTTATGTATATAATTAAGAATGAGTTTGACAGGTAGCGTTGATGGCCAGAAGTCAGTGTTGTAGGTTCCTTCCATGCTTTTGATTACACCTTTAATACCCTTATTCCTCTCTTCTCAGAATCCTACCCATCTTTCCAGGACCAGTTCCTTCCCCTCTTCTCCTGATTAGCCCAAGATCTATCTAAACAAAAGAGAACTTTATATTTAGACCACTAATAGCACTTAAATTTTACCCTTTGTTGCTAGTTTTCTTTTGATGCAGATCCCCAATTGGGACGTAGATAATCTTTTTTTAAAAAAATCTCCTTTATACAATATTTATAATGGTGTGTTGGTTGTCAGCTTTAGAGAGATACCAGGTCTCATTGAGGATTGAGACTGGTTTTGTTTTGTTTTAAATGGAAGACCATCAGGAAATCACAGAGATGAAATGGATAACTATTAGTCCCAAACTGACGATTTTATTCCTAATACTGAAGTAAAGAACACTGTTTTGAGTGTGGTTTCATTTATGGTCATAGAATCCCAGAAAGTGGGCAATGTATATTTCGGATTGGGAGTAGGCTGAGTATCACATATGACAAAACCTCGTGAGAATTAGAATTTGAACATTGCTGACGCAATAGCATACATGTCTTGACATAGCTTTTTCTTCCTTATTAGTTTGTTGGGCTAAATGATGACTGGATGCTGTCAGTCTCAGTTCTGATTAGGAGTCAGCAAGTTCCCTGTAGGGTTCTCGCTCATCGTCTTGCGCAGCTGACAGCTATAAAGCTGGCGTCTAGTCTAACGGTAGAATTTGTGGGGCTTAATTTGCTGAAAACGCACCCTTGTGTTGGGAGAATAACACATTCGACATAGGATACTGTGGCATTTTTAACCATGTACATTGTTCTAACAAGTAAAGCATTCCCCACCTGCCCCCCATCCCCGCCCCCGCACACCCATATGTCACGGTATTCTTCCACTCTCAGATTTGTGCCTTAGGATCTCAAAAGTCTCTGCGAACCAAACACTGATGTACTTGTCACACAGCCAGAGGCTGGAGAACTCGGGTTAAAGAGAGCCTTTGCCCCCCGGTGCTTCTATTACGATGATTCAGGCTCCACCACCGGGAACTCGGACTCGACTCAACCTAAATATTAGTCAACAGGGTTGGGTGAGGCAGGACGGAGAAAGCCCACCATCTAGCAATCTGAACAGCTATAGGAGCAGACCCGCGGCTCGCAGCAGCTGACCCATCGGCGACTGCAGAGCCACCGGCAGCGGAGGAACCACATCGGCCCCGCCGTCCCGACACCGCGCGGGGTGAGCGGAGCCGCAGCCGGGCACGCGCGGGGGCCCACCCCGCCTGGCCAAGGGGCAAACCCAGCAGGGAGGCGGCCTGCAGCCCGAGGCCTCGCAAAGGGACATGCAGCGGTGGCGGCCGCGCTGACTCGGCCTCGCCTCGCCTCGGGTCCCCGGGAGCCGCAGCGGCCACCGGCGCGGGCCGCGCAGTTGGCCACCTCGGCCCGCGTCCCCAACCAGCCGCGCCCAAGCCCGCGCGTCATCACAGAGCGCATGCGCGTCGCGGGGCATGCCGGGAGCGCGCAGTGGCGGCAGCGGCGGCGACGGCACTCACAGCGGCGGCAACAGCGGGGACGCGAGCGGGGCGGTGACCGTGTGGGAGGTGGTCTCACTCTTGGGGAAGCTGCTGGGCACCGTCGCCGCGCTGAAGGTGGTCCTGTACCTGCTCCGGGTGTGCTTAGCGATGGCCTGGAAATCCGGCGGCGCCAGCCACTCGGAGCTGATCCACAACCTCCGCAGTAAGTGCCACCCCCGCCGGGTGTGGGGCCACTGGGGCCGGCCAGGCCTCGACCCGGTTCCCCGCGCCGTCGGGAATGTGTCCCCCGCCTGGCCCGCTGGAGGGCTTCCGCGCAGGGTGGCACCGGCAGTCCCGAACGGCTTGCGCTTGCGATCGCGTCCCCCGGGACCTGTCACTCATCGGCGACGTGGACTGGAAGGAGAGAGAGAGAGAGAGAGAGAGAGAGAGAGAGAGAGGGGGGGGGGGAGGGAGGAGAGCTCCCAGCCGCTGCTGGTGGGGCCGGGGCCAGCGTCTCCCCGGGAGCCCGGGGGACGGGGCGCGGCACCGGTGGTGGGGCTGTCACTCGAGTCCCCCCGCTGCTTGTTGGGGTTCGGCGGGCGAGGGGCGTGCACTGAGGGTGGGGGGTGTGCGCTCGGCCTCCAGGAGACGGAGGGAACTCCACCCTGGCCCCTCGCGTCTTCTCATCTTCCTCCTCCACGACCGACCTCGCTGCAAGCGCTCCCCTCTCCTCCCTCCCCCGCCCTCCGTTTTTTCCTCCGGAGGGAGATGCCGCGGTCTGATACCGGCCCGGGGAGGGAGGGGAGGACGGGAGTACTGTCAGTGCGGATGCGGGAGAAATTCCCGGGGCGGCTGTCCAGCGGAGAGCTCCGTGGGGGGCGGAGGAGGAGCTCACCGAGGGGTGCTGTTCTGGGGGGACGGTTGTTTCGGGAGCCTTTGGAGATCCCGGGGTCTCTAGAGACCGTTGTGTGCGTGGAATGTTCTGACTTCTTTGAGGACCACCCTGTGCTTTGAAAGCCTTGTGTGGAAGTGTTCTCTGTATCATTCTCTGTAGTTGTATTCCTTCCTCTGATGGTCACTGCAGGGTGGGACGAGTGCTGTGTCACTTTCTCTTTTTAAATAGAGTGTTGCCTTGGCTCCGTGGTTGAGCGTTGACCTATGAACCTGGAGGTCAGGGATCGATCCCGTGTTCGCAGCACAGGCCCCGGTGGTGGGCTTGATCCCCAGTGTGGGGCGTGCAGGAAGCGGCCCATCATGATTCGCTCTCTCCCTCTTCCTTCCTCTCTGAAATAAATAAAAATATTTTTTTTTCCAAAAAAGAGAGAAGTAAAAAGTTAACCTTAAAAAAAACACACACAAGAAATACAGTGTCGCTGGCTGGTCGGGAGATCTGGATGGAGGACTCGAACTCTAGTTAGAATTTATTTCACTCTCTTTGCCACTAACTTTGCAAATAATCGTATCCTGATATGTGGTATTTTTAATTGTCATAGGTTATTTAGCTTATTATGTATCCTCTGGGACTTTTAAAAATATATATATCTGAATTCACTCAAAGAACTTAATATAAAAAAAAAGAAGAACTTAATATTCATTTCTTTTTTTCATAAATTCCAGTTAAATGTACATTATATGCTTGGATTTGTGCTGGGAATACCAGGATGAGTGAGAGAAATAATACTATCTGGCACATGGTTAGTACTTAATATTAGACACTTGACGTTTATTTATTTATTTATTTATTTTTTAAATTTTTTTATGTTCATATATTATTATTAGCTACAACTGTGCCAGGCTCCATTTTAAGTGCTTCTCATGTTTTATTTTTTCCAACTTACATGCACTATTATTAAAACTCACTTTTCAGGCGAGAAACAGGCAGGTTAAATGCATCTAAGATCACACTGACAGTTAAATGGCAGAGACTCAGGATTTGAACATTCTGGCTCCTGAGAATACATGATTCAGTAACTGCCCTCTGAAATAATTCCAATATTACCATACTAGATCCCCACCCAATTTTCTGAAAGCAAATAGTGACCCACTTATTATTCTCATAGCACCCAGTTTTATGTGCAGAATAATATATATCCCCGCCACTAGAACTGTTAGGTGGCATGTTCACTCTTAATGGAGTTGTACTAGAACTACCTGCTTACTGTTAATCTACAAGTTACTAGAGCAATCACAGCTCCACAAACTTTAAAACTACACCCCTAAGCCTGTTAATATTAGTAATTTACTTATGAGACCAGTGTTTCTGATCTTTTCCCCTCCAAGACCTAGCAATTATCATTTTATGTGCCTCAGGCATGAAACAGCTCTGGCCACCGACACAGGCATCAAGCTAGGATGAACTAAGGACTGTACATCTGCTTTGCCCCTGACTGATATAAGAGCAACACCACCAATCAGGTGTCTCCTTGCCCACCATTTGACGTTTAAAAAATGTTTTCATTGATCCCTAGAGGGAGAGGAAGGGAGAGGGAGAGGGAGAGATAGAAACATCAATGGGAGAGAAACATGGATTGGCTGCCTCCTGCACATCCTACTGGGGATGGAGCCTGCAACCCTGACATGTGCCCTGACCATGTGCCCTGACGGGGAATTGAAACAGCAACCTCCTGGTTTATGGGTGGACCCTCATCCACTGGGCCACACTGGCTGGGTAGCCATTTGACTTTTTAAAAAAAACAGTATTTAAACTTGGAAATTGTGGCCTTAGTGTTTAGTAATGGAGAATGTTTAGATTTTAAAACTCTGCCAAGCATTGTCAGTATTCACTTTATGGAAGAATATTTGATTGGAAGTGGACATTCACTTGCTTAGGCAGTATTAAGTGTGATTTAAGTTCCCCATGCACATAAGCTCAATATATTGTAAATGTTTTTGTCAAATTTCTTAAAATGATCTGCTTGCTATTGCAGCATATACACCTGAAACATTCTATACACAAATTGTGTTTAAGTAATTTTCCACTGGTAAGTTATCTTAGTAGACACTTGGCTGTGGCAGAAATTTGTAATCAATCGGGCTTTTAATGTCTCTTCTTTTTGGGCCACATTTGCAGTAAGCCAAGACTACTAGTAGATCTTTTCCCAGTGGTTTTATAATCACTTTAATGTATTGCATTGCTATTCTTAGTTGAAATTTCTGAAGATGCTTTTCTATCAGCAAATTTGGTAAGAAATAGTTGTTATACATGTTGATGTTGCAAATATTTAGTTTTATATTAGGTCTGTGGTAAGAGAAAATTAGAGTACTGTAATAGCTTAGCCTTTTTGTGACACCTGTGTAACTTTAGTTTCAGCTTCTTGCTGAAGTAATTCTAGCTAATGGATTTTATTTTTTCATATGAGTTTGTTATAAAAGTAATAGTTGCTCATGCAAAAATTTCAAATCAAATAAAAGTTGAAAATGTCTCCCTTTTTCCTGGTTATTCCACTGTTGTGTATTCTAATTAAATTTTTAGAAAAAGACTAAAATGTGACTATATTAATAGAAAGTGAAAAGGGATCGGCAAACTGGAAGAGGAAGCAAATTACAGTGTTGATTTTTTTTTTTAAGAAATGAAGTTTATTGCCAGCACCGGTTTGGCTCAGTGGATAGAGCGTCCGCCTGCGGACTCAAGGGTCCCGGGTTCGATTCCGGTCAAGGGCACGTACCTTGGTTGCGGGCACATCCCCAGTGGGGGGTGTGCAGGAGGCAGCTGATCGATGTTTCTCTCTCATCGATGTTTCTAGCTCTCTGTTCCTCTCCCTTCCTCTCTGTGAAAAAGCAATAAAATATATATTAAAAAAAGAAATGAAGTTTATGATTGGTTTTGTCTTAATATGATAATTGAAAATACTGAATTTTTCTTTATAAGATGTACTAGAAACATGATTGTGTATGAGTTCATAGTTGACATACAACTAATAAGTTATTTTATTTTTAAAAAAATATATTTTATGAATTTTTTACAGAGAGGAAGGGAGAGGGATAGAGAGTTAGAAACATGGATGAGAGACAAACAGCGATCAGCTGCCTGCGGCACACCCCCGACTGGGGA